TTTATACGCCCAACTAGTCAACACTTTCCTAACCATCCAAATTGTCAGCACATACTTTTACTTTGTTTCCTTTTGGCAAATTGCCAGAGGTTACGACTTTGTCAACCAGCATATGGAGGATATTATCTCAGATGAATCCATGGACTCCAAAGATCAGGTAGAGGAACTCCGTAGCCTGTGGGCTCTGCATGCAAGCCTAAGTCGGACTGCACGAAGGATAAACCGGCATTACGGCCCCCAAATGCTGGCCACTCGTTTCGACTACTTCATGTTCTCCATCATCAACGGATACATGGGCACGATCTATTCAAAATATGACCATTCTGCTTCGGTGGAAAAGATTTACGGAGCTCTTATCTATTGGATACGAAGTGTAGACTTTTTTCTAAACGACTATATGTGCGATGTGCTTACAGAATATCAAAGACAGACAAAGTGCTATATCACCGAAGGTAAAATGTCCAAAGAGGTGGGTTATAATCTGGTATTTAAAAATATTCTCCTGAAGTACTTCTATATTTCTAGCTGAGTTCTTTCCTGATCTATAACAACAGCATGCGACTGGATCTGATGGTTTGTGGACTCTACCCGGCAAACAGAAATAAATGGCTACAAATGGTGGGCTCTATTATAGTCCACTCCATAATGCTGCTTCAGTTTCAACTTGTGATGAGCACGAAATAGAAGGTCTTAAGATAAAACTACTATAAGAATTAATAAACGTTTTAAAAGCTGAAATTAGTTCTTTGGGCTATCCCTTACACTTGTAGTTTTGAGCACTTAAGATTATTACCTGATAGAAGTGACATCATAACAATGCTCTTTACAATTTCAAAACTTAAGACTGTCATGATTATGTCCAATGTGACTGCGTTTATATTTTCAGTTACACTTGAACTTAGCCCAAAAGGATTAGTAAGTCTTAGTTCTAGTAAGCTAGTCTCATTCGTACATTCCTCAAAAGTGGTTATTTAAAACATAAGCCATGCAAAGGTTGGCCTCCTTATATAACTCATACGCCCTGCTCATGGGCATTACATCCTACAGATTAGTGAAAGGAAAGCTCCATCAAACTAGAAAAACACGGACTTATGCACTGGTTGTAAATATACTCTTTCTAGCAGGAATGCCGTATTTCATCTGGAGAGATGCCAATTTAGTATCGGCAAATGAATCCCTACCTCCATTTATAAGATTGACGCCTTTTGTTCTGCATTGTGTTACCTATGCCGTAATATTTCTCGTTTTGACCTCGAGATGTTTCGGGGAAAATGCGTTGTTGGACTTTGAGCGTCTAAATACCGAATTAAATCGTAATATGACTCGTTATGGGAAAACTACCAGCCCAAAGCTCCGTAAATTATTTGTTTTTAAGACATTTATATCAACTACTTTATGGGTGACTAACAATTTGTCAGTAGCGGTTTTCTGGCGTTGGGTCCGAACTGATATTCTAATGCTGATTGGAGACATGTTTATATGCACCGGGTTCAATATAATGGTCAGCAGTGCGTATTTGCATTTTTTGTCATTTTGGAACATTGCCAGAGGCTATGAGTTTGTTAATCAGCGGATGGATGAGCATATTCCGGTCAAAAAACCATATACTTCATTGGAAAAAGAGGAAATATATCAGCTATGGGCATTGCACAGCCATCTTGGCAGGACTCTCCAACGGTTGCAAATGATTCGTGGTCTTCAAATGCTGGCTTTGCGATTCGACTTCTTTTTAAGGTCCATCATCCATGGTTTCCACTGTTTCATTTTGTTATTATATAATACAGAGTCTACTCCTAAAACTCTAAAATACGTTTTAAGCATCATGTGGTGTATGCGCATGGTGGGATGTTTTCTTAATGACTATGTTATGGAGTTAACAACTGAATATCAGAGCAGTCCCAAGGATCTAATCATCGAGGGAATTTTGACCAAGGAGGTACTTTTTCCCTTTTATGGTTAAATAATAAACGTATAATGGAGACCTTTTTACAGCTAAGTGCTTATATCATTTACGAAAGGAGCATGAAACGGCCTTTGAAGATTGTGGGACTCTACACGGCAAATCGAAACAACTTTCTCCGAATGTCTGAAGGCGTTCTAAGTTTTTTTATACTCTTGCTGCAATTCCTTCTGTTTTTTTATTATTAACTTGTATACTGCAAAGATTTATGGAGCTCTTATCTATTGGATACGAAGTGTAGACTTTTTTCTAAATGACTATATGTGCGATGTGCTTACTGAACAGACAAGACAGACAAAGTGCTATATCACCGAAGGCGAAATGTCCAAAGAGGTGGTTAATAATCTGGTACTTTAAACTACTATCCTAAAGTCGTTCTTAACTTCCAGCTGAGTTCTTTCCTGATCCATAACAACAGCATGCGACTGGATCTGATGGTTTGTGGACTCTACCCGGCAAATATAAATAAATGGCTACAAATGGTGGGCTCTATTATAGTCCACTCCATAATGCTGCTTCAGTTTCAACTTGTGATAAGCACGATATAGAAGGTCTTAAGATAAAACTAATATAAGAATTAATAAACATTTTAAAAGCTGAAATTAGTTCTTTGGGCTGTCCCTTACACTTGTACTTTTGAGCACTTTAGATTATTACCTGATAGAAGTGACATCATAACAATGCTCTATACAATTTCAAAACTTAAGACTGTCATTATTATGTCCAATATGACTGCGCTTATATTTTCAGTTACAGTTGAACTCAGCCCAAAAGGATTAGAATGTCTTAGTTCTAGTAAGTTAGTCTCATTCGTACATTCCTCAAAAGTGGTTATTTTAAAACACAAGCCATGCAAAGGTTGGCCTCCTTATATAACTCATACGCCCTGCTCATGGGCATTACATCCTACAGATTAGTGAAAGGAAAGCTCCATCAAACTAGAAAAACACGGATTTATGCACGGGTTGTAAATATACTCTTTTTAGCAGGAATGCCTTATTTCATATGGAGAGATGCCAATTTAATATCGGCGAATGAATCCCTACCTCCATTTATAAGGTTGACGCCTTTTGTTCTGCATTGTGTTACCTATGCCGTAATATTTCTCATTTTGACCTCGAGATGTTTCGGGGAAAATGCGTTGTTGGACTTTGAGCGTCTAAATACCGAATTAAATCGTAATATGACTCGATATGGGAAAACTACCAGCCCAAAGCTGCGTAAATTATTTATTTTTAAGACGTATTTATCAGCTACTTTATGGCTGACTGACATTTTGACAGTAGCGATTTTCTTGCGTTGGGTCCGAACTGATATTCTAATGCTGATTGGAGACATGTTTATATGCACCGGGTTCAATATAATGGTCAGCAGTGCGTATTTGCATTTTATGTCATTTTGGAATATTGCCAGAGGCTATGAGTTTGTTAATCAGCGGATGGATGATCTTATTCCGGTCAAAAAACCATATACATCGTTGGAAAAAGAGCAAATATATCAGCTATGGGCATTGCACAGCCATCTTGGCAGGACTCTCCAAAGGTTGCAAATGATTCGTGGTCATCAAATGCTGGCTTTGCGATTTGAATTCTTTTTAAGGGCCATCATCCATGGTTTCCACTGTTTCATTTTGTTATTATATAATACAGAGTCTACTCCTAAAACTCTAAATTACGTTTTAAGCTTCTTGTGGTGTATGCGCAATGTGGGATGTTTTCTTAATGACTATATTATGGAGTTAACAACTGAATATCAGTGCAGTCCCAAGGACCTAATCATTGAGGGCCTTTTGACCAAGGAGGTACTTTTTCCCTTTTATGGTAAAATAACAAACGTATAATTGAGAACTTTTTACAGCTAAGTGCTTATATCATTTACGAAAGGAGCATGAAACGACATTTGAAGATTGGGGGACTCTACACGGCAAATCGAAACAACTTTCTCCGAATGTCTGAAGGCGTTCTTAGTTTTTTTATACTCTTACTGCAGTTCCTTTTGTTATACCCGATACTCGTAGAGTAAAACAGTAAACTAGATTCGTCGGAAAGTATGTCTGTAAGTAATCAGGATCACTAGCCGAGTCGATCTAGCCATGTCCGTCTGCCCGTCTGTCCGGATGAACGCTGAGATCTCGAAAAACTATGGGAGCTAGGCTCGCTACGAAGCGAAAGTTTGTTTCCGCAATGTGCCACGCCCACTCTTACGCCCACAGACCGCCCAAAACTGTGGCTCCTACAGTTTTGATGCTAGAATAAAAATTTTAACAGAAGTGTATTGTTCTCATCAATACCTATCGATTGTCCCAAAAAAGTTTGCCACGTCCACTCTAACGCCCACAAACCGCCCAAACCTGTGACGCCCACAGTTTTCATGCTAGATAAAAAATTTTAACTGAAATGTATTGGTCTCGTCAAAAAAAATTTGCCACTACCACTCTAACGCCCATAACGCCTTAATCTGCCTACCGCCGGTAGGTGGCGTATTTTAATCTCGATTTGCTGCTTGAATATCCCCATTTCCCTTTGGTCCCTTTTGCTGAGTAACGGGTATCTGATAGTCGAGGTACTCGACTATAGCGTTCTTTCTTGTTTTTTTATTATTAACTTGTATACTGCAATTCATTTGGTTAACCCTGATAACACTTGTAAAAAAAACGAAATAAATTCATTATCAAAAATATTTTCGATAAGATCTTAATGTATTGCATTTTTAAAAATGTTATATATGGAAAAATACATTTAAAAACAAGTTAATTTCAGGATTTTTTATGTAAAATTCTAGTTTTATTAAATTAAAAAATTCTTAAATATTTTTAAAATGTATTATCCCATATAAAACGGGTTTCTATTTAATTCGAATATTTAATACAACATTTTGAAATCAATATGTGTGTATTTTTACATTTCCATTTTTTATTATCAGTGAATCAGTGTGATTTCCGCACCATTGTCTGATATCTTTTTAATATAGGCACTTCCGCTTATTAGTACAGCAAATGACATCAGTCAATCCAACAAACTGGTTCAGAAAGGACGTGGTCATGGTTTATCCGTTAGTAAAAATATATTTCGGCTATTCGCTGGCACTTGGAATTACTTCGCGGAAACTAGCCAACCAAAGGTTCTACAGTACATTATTTTCCCGGACTTATGCCCTAGTTGCAAATATCATAACGCTTACAGTGCTGCCATTTGTAATGTGGCAAGTCCGCTTGGTTTTCGAGACAAAAATGCACTTTCCGCAGCTCATTTTGATTACCTATAATGTGAGATATCTGGTTTCGTATGTGGTAATATCATATACAGTCCTATCGCGTGGATTTCGAGATACAGCTTTTAACGAAATGCAACCATTGCTGCAAAGATTACTTCAGGAGGAAAAGGGAGGTAGATGTACCCGATGTGGACGGAAATCCTTAATAGTTCTTATATATGTCAAGTTCTTCACCATAACGTGGTTGTGCCTTACGGAAACCATATTTCTCTTTTATTCGAATGAGCCTATGAATATAGTCAATATAGCCAGATTTATTTTCCTGACTAATGCCACGAGCATTCTGAATATGGTGCCAATGGGTTACTTCCTTGCATTGTGGCATATTGCTCGAGGCTTTGATAATATGAACCAACGTTTGGATAAGATTATAACATCAAAATCTTCTAAACATTTGAAAGAGCTGCAGGATCTATGGTTACTTCACACCGATCTCACCAAAACAGCCTTAAGAATAAATAAGATCTATGGCCCCCAGATGTTGGCCTCCCGCTTTGATAACTTTATAATTGGCGTAATACAAGCCTATTGGGGAGCCTTTTTTACCTTTCGTGTATCCACTCCTATTTTTTGGATAGTGTACGGAAGTGTTCAATATCAAATCCGTGCACTAGACTATTTTCTCAACGATTACTTGGCCGATTTGGTCGTGGAGTACCAGAGGTCAGCCAAGCATTCCTGGAGTGAAATTCACTGGACGAAAGAGGTACCTAAATTACATACTAATTCTTTCAAAAAGGTTTATCAATTTATTACAATCTAGACAAGTTCCTATGTGATCTACGCCAATAGTTTGAAGTTAGAGCTGCGGACTTGTGGACTTTTTCCAGCGAATCGCAGTATGTGGTTCGATATGGTCAGCGGCATTTGGTATTATATTTTAGTGCTCCTGCAGTTTCATTTCATTATGGAGAAATAATAGGATCATACATTTTTATCTTATTGCAGGTGTATCACTTTTAGAGGTGACTAAAAGTATGCAGTGATAAAGAAATACTCTGTTACATATATTTTGTTGCATATTTTTAGACACCTTTTAAGGGTAGACCTAGTGATTTTTGGGGCATCATTCCCTTTAAGTTACAAAACATTTCAATAATAATTCATCTAATAGTAAAAGAATTCACCTTAAAAGGTGTTTTAAAGTGAATAATAAATACCTCAGAATCAAACCCTATTTGTATAGCACAACTTACTTTAAGTTACGACATTATTAAATGGCTTGTACTTAAAATTGTAAACAAAAATATTTTCTATTGCCGAACCTATCAAACATCCCTGGCAAATCCATTTTGCATAATCTGACACCCAAATGCCTCCAAACTATTGTGATTTCCTAATCAGTTTCTGCCAAGAAATAATTGTAACTGTTTGAATCGCTCACGTTTGAAACGCTTACGGGCAACAATGTGAGCAATATAGCAGCAAAACGTCCTGTTCTGCAGGAGCCAATAATTTCCTATTCGATAATTTCCAAATGAATGCGTTCAGCAAATAAATTCAGCTTTGACAGCACTCGCAGTTGAAATTTAAAACGAAATCACGTTTTGCTGTTGCATACTTTTTGGCGTATGCACATCTGCTCTACGTTGTACGTGATGAAAGTTGTGTCATAAACACAGGCACACAACTTAGCTGGAAAATGCTGGAAATGGCAGCAGGTGAGAAGAGGGGGAATCCGGAGTTAAGGGAGGCATAAATAAAATGAAATAAAATAAATCAAAGCATAATTTTCGCAATAAATTCGTTTTGCCAAGCGCTGAATGCAAATCTAATTCCTTTTGCCTGGCGAAACGTGTATCGAAGTTTCGCACTGTTCTATTTGCGGTTTCTGAAATTTATAGGCCCTTTCCTTTTACAATCGGCTTATAGGCCAATCCTTTTTGAAAATAAATACATTGAATTGGAATTTAAATCAATTTAGTAAAAGAGTTTGCGTATATATATTTGTATATACTATGAACTACGGAAATTAAACACTATCCACTTCTTTTATCCGAAAAGGATTTTTTATAAATGTTTTAATAAAGATTTATGTATACTATTTTTTTCTGGAAATATATAAAATGTTTAATTATATAGCTCATAGCATGCTTACATGCTATTCAAATGAAATGTTCATAATTCTAAAAAACAATTATATAAATGTAAAATCTATTACTAAGTTAAGCGTTTTCAAGAAATAAAACCTATAACTTATTATACGTCTTAATTTTAAATATTGATGACTCATTGCTATATCATAGCTATAAATAAATCCATTTTTGTAAAGTATCTATAAAGAATAAAGTATGTTTTTAAAACAGGTTTAAAAGAGCCTTATCATATATTTAAAACTAGAGTGACGACATTTCGCGATAAATCGGCAATCGTTTCGGTAAGTATATATATTAACATGATTTGAATTCGCATCGGGCACGTCAACACAATTATGTTGGATAACAAGAGCCAAGATTTATGATGCCCGATTCGAGGAGCAAACATATAAACGCACGTAACGGATGCGTCGGCTGTACGCCCACTGCCGCTGGGTAGGTGGGCGTGGCCCGTCGCTTGACAATTGTCAAAATCGTCGCCATAACTCACGTGTTGCCAGCAACAGAAACAAATGCCTGTGGATCGCGGGGAATTCCGGGAGGATGGGGACGAAGGATGAGGAGCTGCGGCACCGGGCATCGACAATTTCAATTGAAGCTGATTTGCTCAAAATGCAAATTACGCAATGATTTACATTCCGATTGACATATTTTAGGCGAACAGTTTGCACTCCATTCCCGCCCCCACCCCGCCCCAAAAAGCCTTGGATCCGCCCTTTACGTGTTGCTGAAAAGAATCCTTGATTTGCCATTGCCATCGCCAGCCGACGTAAATTGGCTGGGAGTAGAGAGCCCTTTTGAACCGAAAAATCATTGCCATTGGCTATAAGTATCTGTTAGATAGATGGATAACACAGAAATATTGATATCATAAATTTATTCGATACAAATTAAAATAGATTGGAATTTATCACAGTTTTATATTTTTAGTTACAAGAATACAAATATCTACAATGTGAGATTCAGATAAAAACGTATCTTTTATGGTTGAGTATCAACCTCTCATAATTATGAAGAACTATTATTTAATTTTATAGAACTTAAAGTAGTTTAAAATACAGAACATTTTTAATATGAAGAACAGTAGTAGTAGTAGAACAGTAGAAACAAGTTACATCAAATTTGATACGTAAGTAAAAAATTATTTCAGTAAAGGTAGAAAATATTATATAGAAAATAATATGAAGTTCACAACCCCTTCAATCAATCAAGCGCCAAACGGACTTTAAAGTGTAAGAATATAATTTAAATTAAATTACAGCATTCAAAATGGATTAATGTATTTATTCTTTCAAGATATTTTTAGGTCCATACTATTTAGACGTAATGAAATTTCCGTCCTGGTAATTTACAGGACTGTTAACGAGAAACCCCAAACTGTTATCGCAGATAGTGCAATAAAAATCGTATTTATATGGACCATCCGACTGTGTCATTACTCACAGGACTGACGGGCGACGGGCACATGTCCCGGTGAGGTCCTGTGGTCATCATTACTCTGGCTTTGCCATTGCGCTGGACGGGCATCATAAAATTGCTGAGGGGACATAAACGCGTTATTATATTATGCCTTTGAATGCCCATGACTTGCAGGGCCGGGGCCCCAAAGACCCAATGAATGGAGGCCGCAGGACGAGATGGAGGCAGGATGCAGTGGCCACACGACGCCAGGACACACAGGACACCCGGGACACACAGCTCACACAGCTCACACAGCTCACACAGAGGACACAATGGATGAACATCAATGCCAGGAGCCGCGACGTTGAATGGCCAGTGGCAGGAGCAGGAGAAGGAGCAGAAGGACCAAAACGAGGAGGAGCAGAAGGAGCAGGACCAAAACCCGCGTCCATCAATGCAACTTTGAGTCAACGTCAACAGCCAAAGAAGCTATTCAGCTTAACTTGCATTCTCTGGCCTTTTTCCTTTCAGCCGTAGGGTATAAATTTAAAAAATAACAATATGAGGAGATGTCCTCCAGATGTGTGCGACCAAAAAGTCACCACTGGGGAGCAGGAGGATTGCAGGCCCCATCTGAGGACCAAGGACTGCTCAAGATGCCAGGAAAAGTTTTTAATGATGCCGCAAAGTCGTTGAACCAAGTTCGATGCACACACAGTGGATTTGACCTGACTTTGGCATCCTTGGTGGAGAGGACAAGAGCTTCTGCATTGATTTACTTGGGGCTCAGGCTCAAAAGTAAGCCACAGCTGTGCCAAATCGGAATTTTGGCCAAGTGAAAGTTATTTTCGGGCTGCAAAGTTTCTGCATTCGAGTCCAAAAATGTCTGAATTTTCATTGCATCGTACAAGTTGACCCCTAATGTATTGAAAATAAAAAAAAATAGATAAGAGTTCATCGAACAAGAATATGAAGCAAGCAATTAAATATTAATGGTGTCACAATTTGTATTTTACCAAGGTACATCTAACAAAAAATAAATATATACAAAACACAGAAAAATATGAGCCTAACATAATAATAAAAATAACAATATGTTTGATATGATATTATTTAAAAAGTTTTTTTAGACCACTCGTTAGAACGTAAAGTATTAAGTCCAATAGGATTAAGATCTTCGACTCTGTTATATCATATTATTGAATCAACATTTAGGAAATATTAATGGTGGCTCATATCTCTTGTTATTATTCTGAATATTAAGGAAACTGGTTATACTTCTTGGGAGCCATAAAGACAAGTCAGAATTATGAATATAGGGATGCCCAAAGGTAGCTTACTTTATGTAAGCCCAACATAAAAACAAATATTTTAATTTCACAAAAATATATTATTTGATTTATTAATATTATATGGGCTTAGGAATACTTTTCAACAGACTTTTTATCCGATGAAGCCATTGCCGAAACTGTTGGCGGAGGACGAGGCAGTTGCGGAGGCACTGGCTCCGCCGTAGCCGTTGTTAAAGCCACCATAGCCAGGATATCCGCCTCCGAATCCGCCATAGTTGGGATATCCTCCTCCGAATCCGCCATAAGGATATCCGCCTCCGAATCTACCGTAACCAAACTGAGGAGCGGGCACAGCCTCCAGGACACTGAGGAGTGCGAAAATCACAGCGACGAACACGAAAATAGCTTTCATCTTAAGGTTGACTTGTTCACTCTAGATCTTAACGATTCAGACTGTGGATCGATCTCGACTCGGCGGCCTATTATATAAACAGATTCCAGACACTTGGTTCAACAACCTGCTCGTCTGGTTCTCCTCTTCAATTAATCGATCCCCTCGAAAATGACACAATTCACGGCGAAAACAAAATATGTCAGATGACGACCATCCCCTCGGGGAGACCAGTTTTGAAGTTTGGGGTTAACCTTTCCTCCAAACTCACGCTTCTTTTGTGGGATTTTGGGAATCACTCGGTCCGAGCTCTGTCGCTCTGCTATTAGCATAATATAAAATACAAACAAAAATTGTTTATAATTATTGGCATGCAATTTCGCCGGGCTTTGTTATCACATTCGCTTAGTCACACACATTTTGTATTTCATTTAATATACATTATGCTAATCAATGCTGTCATTAATGGGTTTTCTATTGGACATCGATATAGCCGAAATTAAAATGTTTTTCACCTCATTTCTTTTGTTCGGATTATTTTAAATTTGTTTTTATGCTCTAGGGTATATTTCTCTAGGGTATATTTCAAATGATGAGCTTGCTTTTTTGATAAATGCGTTCTAAAAACAGTTTTTGATTGTCCTACTTAAACAAATCAATTGTCATTAATGGGTTCTAAGAAACATTTTATATTGTTTTTCACCCAATTCTTTTGTTTATATTATGCTTTATTTTTTATGTTTAAGCCATAGGGACTTATATAAAAACATTTTTTTAATGGCCTTAAAAAAATCAAGTGCCTTTTATGGATATTTTAACACATTAAAAAAATTACAAGTTGACATTTCCTGACTGTTATGGTGATTCAATTAAAACCATTGGTTTCCTATTAAGTTTCGTAATATTTAGCCAAGTCAATTACCTGACCTTGGTTCCTAAAATATGTTTTTTAAAAGGTTTTGTAAACAATATTTGGCTTATACTTCCATTCCCAGTTGGCCTTCGACTTCAATCCGGTTCTGAAGATCAGCTCTGGCTAGCAGGTCACATTGCCGTGAATCAGAAATTCATAAAATAGACTTAGACAGCATAAACAAGACTGAAAAGATATTCAAAATTTCTGTTGTAAACGAACCGCGAGAAATGTTGGTGGCCAGCCAATTTCAAACACTCTGCAGTAACCTGTTCTCAGACTCCATGACCCACGTCTGCTCGGCCAAGGTGCCGGAATCCCTGACCAAGAAGTATCGCAACCGCCTGATAAACCCCAAGGATCCCTACAGTATCTACCAGTTGGACAGTCGAAACACCAGCTACCTGCTGGTCTTTCACTTCGAGGACATGCCCGATTGCCAGACCATCCAACTGACCGATGTGCACAACCTCAACTGCCAGACCAACAGTGGTGAATCGAAGAATCTGTACTTCGGCTACAGCCACCGTATGTGCTATAACTATACGATGGACCTGACCTCGGCCCTCAAGGAGCACTGTGGGGCCAGGGGCTATGAGGAGAATATGCAGTCGGGCTATTATTACACAAACCACGATCCGAACCCGGATATCAGAAGAGAAGTAAACGCCGGTGCTCTGATGGGACTCCCAACTCTGTTAATATGTCTGATTATATCCATATTACTGCTCGCATTTCTGCGGTGGAAGACATCCCGTTTATAGGGCAGGTACATCTGATTTTTTCCGACTTTCAAGTCAAAATTACTTACCTACCTTTGGAAAAATGAGGAGCCAGCATTCTCTAATCACCGCTCACTGCCAACGAATAACAGAAATAACTTGGTTCTTGATCTGTACCGGCCACTATCCCGAGGATGTGAAAATCCGTTTCAGTGGCAAGTTAACATCGACTGGTGATCCATATTCGGTATTTGGGTTCCAGAATGACGACGGTTCCCAGGATCTGATGGTCATCATGGGCAGCGAGGAGTTCGCAATATGCAAACTCCTTCATGTGATCGGCATGAACGAGTTCCAGTGCATCGGTGAGGACGAATTGGTCAGGATAGTCTATACAAATCATAGCCATGTGATCTGTTTGGATTTCTTCTTCCGCATGGCCTTTGAACTCGAAAGGGCCTGTAGTCGCGAAGAAGTGGAGGAAAAGGCGTTTACGGTCCTGTATTTCGCAAATGTCGAGTACAAAGAGACGAAGAACGAAGGTATCACAATCGGTTTCGATATGGTTATACTATTTCTTTCGGCACTTCTGGCGATTCTTCTCCTTCTACGCTGGCGATAGTCATAATTCTACATATATATTTGAATCCCCCGAATTGATCTGGTCGTTCTGACAGGCTTCGCCAGTGCTGAATTAAGATATTGTTTTGTGTATAATTTTCCTGGTAAGCCACCGAAATGTTCCGAGATTTAAAAACAATATTTTTCAATATTTTTTAAAAGCATTGTTTCTACATCTCTGGAACATTTTCATCGACTTCACAAATATAAATTGTAAGTCTTGTAACTATTTTTTATTCATTTGGTTTATTTATTTATATAAACATTTTTATAAAAAAGAACGCATTTTTCTCAGTCTTTATATTCCAACAAATTTTCATCCTTCTCGATTTCATAGGCGCCCCCTTTTTTATGATCCATGTGATGTATCCATCATGATCTGACATATTATGACAGTGCTCAAACCTAAAAACGCTGACAGTACACAAATCTTTGTGCTGTGTCGGCATGGAACTTAAGAAGCTGTCACCGGGATCGGGATCTCCCCATCTTTTTTCCATGATCGCAGCGCATATTCCTTTCATCTGACAATGTTGCCCATGTCATCTACTTTATGCCTCGTATTCTAAAGTGTGGGGTGTGTATAGAGCGCATCTGTGCGGAGCCCTCGTTCATTAGGTCTCTTATAAATAATTGCTTTTTAACAGACGCAAAAATTATCACCTAATTATAGTGCCTGACACGGGGGATTTCAACTGTCTCTCCTTTTACACATTTAGTGGGAGCGAGCTTCGTTATATCTATTAATTAAAAATGGCAATTGTATTAATTAAATAGCTCAATTTTAATTTAAAGCAGTTAATTATTAACCAGGTTTCTATATTTATAAACAATGCTGATGTCAATTAAACTGTTTATCATTTTCTGTGGACTAATTGGAAAAAATACGCATTCTTAAGAATTCGCGGTGATATTTTTAGTTATGAGTATATTTCAATAATAATATTATATAGACTGGGACTGTAGAAGGAAGCATGTCCGACCCTGAAAGGTATATATATTCTTCAGTTATTTGGTACCGATTTTGCACGGGAATACCTCTATGAGTTTGTGGTTAAGTTCTGTAATATTTTACGTTCAAATGTTTCTTTTTAACGATAGTCAAAATTTTAGCCCATTTTCGTGATCAATTTTTTCGTACTTCCAATGGCAGTTAAAAAAGCTGTACTTTTATTGCCATAACCTGAGTTACAGGACACCGTTTTAGAAGTGGGATACCTTGATGAATTTGTTGTTGAATTCTCTAATATTCTACATTCAATCTTTCTTTTCAACAGGGGTCACAATTTTAACCCATTTTCATGTTCGATTTTCCCGTATTGTCAATGCCTTTCGTAATGGGGACCCAAAACTGCACTTCTAGATTTCATAACTTGAGTTATATACACCAGATTTAAAAGGATGCCTCTATGAATTCGTGGTTAAATTCTCTAATATTCTACATTAAAATCTATCTTTTTAACGATGGTCAAGATTTTAACCCATTTTCATGTTCGATTTATCCTTGTTTCCAATGGGTACAGAATGGGAACCCAAAACTGCACTTCTAGATTTCATAACTTGAGTTATATAAAGCCGATTCAGAAGTGGGATGCCTCTATGAAATCGTGGTTAAATTCTCTAATATTCTACATTAAAATCTATCTTTTTAACGATGGTCAAGATTTTAACCCATTTTCATGTTCGATTTATCCTTGTTTCCAATGGGTTCAGAATGGGAACCCAAAACTGCTCTTCTAGGTTTCATAACTTGAGTTATATAAATCCGATTCAGAAGTGGGATGCCTCTATGAATTCGTGGTTAAAGTCTCTAATATTCTACATTAAAATCTATCTTTTTAACGATGGTCAAGATTTTAAGCCATTTTCATGTTCGATTTATCCTTGTTTCCTATGGGCTCAGAATGGAAACCCAAAGCTGCACTTCTAGATTTCATAACTTGAGTTATATACACCAGATTTAAATGTGTGATGCCTCTATGAATTCGTGGTTAAATTCTCTAATATTATACATTAAAATCTATCTTTTTAACGATGGTCAAGATTTTAACCCATTTTCATGTTCGATTTATCCTTGTTTCCAATGGGTTCAGAATGGGAACCCAAAACTGCACTTCCAGATTTCATAACTTGAGTTATATAAAGCCGATTCAGAAGTGGGATGCCTCTATAAATTCGTGGTTAAATTCTCTAATATTCTACATTAAAATATATCTTTTTAACGATGGTCAAGATTTTAACCCATTTTCATGTTCGATTTATCCTTGTTTCCAATGGGTTCAGAATGGGAACCCAAAACTGCTCTTCTAGGTTTCATAACTTGAGTTATATAAATCCGATTCAGAAGTGAGATGCCTCTATGAATTCGTGGTTAAATTCTCTAATATTCTACATTAAAATCTATCTTTTTAACGATGGTCAAGATTTTAACCCATTTTCATGTTCGATTTATCCTTGTTTCCAATGGGTTCAGAAGGGGAACCCAAAACTGCACTTCTAGATTTCATAACTTGAGTTATATAAACCCGATTTAGAAGTGGAATGCCTCTATGAATTCGTGGTTAAATTCTCTAATATTCTACATTAAAATCTATCTTTTTAACGATGGTCAAGATTTTAACCCATTTTCATGTTCGATTTATCCTTGTTTCCAATGGGTTCAGAATGGGAACCCAAAACTGCACTTCCAGATTTCATAACTTGAGTTATATAAAGCCGATTCAGAAGTGGGATGCCTCTATGAATTCGTGGTTAAATTCTCTAATATTCTACATTAAAATCTATCTTTTTAACGATGGTCAAGATTTTAACCCATTTTCATGTG